CTCCTGCCTCAGCCTCTCAAGTAGCTGGGATTACAGGCATGCGCCACCATGCCCAGCTAATTTTGTATTTTTAGTAAAGATGGGGGTTTTTCCCTGTTGTTCAGGCTGGTGTGGAACTCCCAACCTCAGGTGATCCGCACGCCTCTGCCTCCCAAAGTGCTGGGATTGCAGGCATGAGCCAACATGCCCAGCTGTTTACATCCTTAATCAACATCTTTTTTTTTTTTTTTTTGACAATAATGATTCTAACAAGTATTAGGTGATATTTCATTATAGTCTTAATTTGTGTTTCTCTGATGTTTAGTAATGTTTAGCATTTTTTCATATACCTCTTGACTAGTATAACTTTATACAGCGAGTGCTCGACTTACGACCACTATTGGTTCCGACAGACCGGTTGTAACACGATTTGGTCATAAGTTGAGTAGGCTATATGCACATGGAGATGGTAGTGCTGCCAGAAGCTGGTCCGCACTGTCGTACGCCCAGCTGGGCAACGTTTGCGCTGCCTTACGCAGAGCAGTCGTGGCTAGCGATTGTGGTCGTAAAGTCGAATGGTCGTAAGTTGCATAGGTCGTAAGTCGATCAATACCTGTATTTGTGTGTGTGTGTACACACACACACACATATGCATGTATGTGTTTTTAAAATCAGATATTGCTAATGAACATTATTTTTACCCTTATTTTACCTTTAGGTAGTTTTGGAGAGCCCGTGGCCTAGCAGTACCCGCAGTGGTATCTTCTTATGGACGAAGGTACGGAATGTGGTACGTGGCTTGGCACAGTTTAGGCAACCACTTAAAAAGACTGTGCAAAAATCACAGGTCTCCTCAATATCAGGTAATACATGTGATTGGAAGTATACTTTCTTGCTGAACCATGAGCTTTATAGGCATATGAATTTTTAGCTATGTGAAGTAGAAAACTTAAATTGTGGTGGACATTTCCATATACAATTGAAGACAGATTATCTTAGTCCAAAATTGTTTTTGTTTTTTCTAGAAATTTAGAAAGTGTTCTGCGACTATAACTGAACTGTGGGTCATTCATGTTTAATTTAAGAGATTATCAATGCATGAGTTACTGAACTGCTATTGTCCTTATCTTTAGCTCCTCAGAATGTCACAGGTGGAAGTGATGGGGACACGGTGAGCCACGGTAGCGTGGATAGTTCTAATGATGCTAACAATGGGGAGCACACAGTCTTCGTCAGAGATTTAATCAGGCTTGAGTCCATTGATAATCACTCTAGCACAGGTACTAAAATACAGATTTTACTAACTCTTCACTTACTCTCATGTTTAATCTTTCCTTTTTCAAAAAGCTTCTTCCCTTCTTGAATTTGTGTGACATGAATACTTTAAAAGTAGTAGGAGCACTTTACTTTTAGTACTTTAAAAGTAGAAGAGAAGCAATACAAGTCTGCAGATCACTTTTCTTTATTTCCTATAGTACAGAATTAGTATGGTAGTTCTGTGCACAGTGCTCTAGCATGATGCTTCTTTGTTTTTGTTCATCATTAATTTGTGAACATGTATGCTATAATTAGGAATCGTGAGCTAAGGAACTTCAAAATTAGTGACACAACTTGCAAATCTTTTTTTAATTAAATAGAAAATATATCTTAAAACTTTATGAATATTAAAAAGGAAAGGAAGGAAGTCACACCATGAGGAAAAGCATTCTCTTTAAGTTACGGTTTTTTTTAGATCTGAGAGCTACTGAAGCTGCTTTTATGTACATAACCATGGGAATAACCCCTGTCCTCTGAAGTTAGAAATAAGTATAGTTAAAGTAGCACATCGTGCAGATATATATGTGTTGCACATCCTTCTTCTTGTGTTGTTTTTTTTGTTGTGGTTGTTTTTAATATTTCAAGCCTTCCTTTAAAAAAGAATTCTGGGTCTAATTCCTGTGCTTCTGAACTTGTCTCAATGACTGAAGTTTCCTTTTCTCTGCTCTTTGTTGCTTTGCTTTTTGCTCTGTGCTGTTTCTTGGTGCTGCATTTGTCCTTGGCTGTCATGGTGTGGGGTGCAGACAGACTTGTATGACGTGAAGCTATGGATACACGTGTGCATTAATTCTACCCTTGACTGTTAACCACATCAGGTAATTTCCCATTTATTAGGTTAAATTTTGCTGACATGCAAGGGTGGGGGAAAGACTTTCATTGTATTTTAAGTATTGTTATGAATGGTAAACAGTTTTTATTTTCTTGCCTTTCTCCTTCAGATAAATGTAATCATATATAGACTCTATTGAAAATATCAAACTAACTTTCTTTTTTAATGGTCCATTTGCAAAGCATATTTTTTATCTTATTTGAAGATATATTAGGCCTTGCTAAAATTCTTATTTTGAGGTTGGTTTGTAGCATCATTGTGACAAATAGTGTTAAAAGCATTGAAGAATTAATTGTTTCAGCTGTTGAGGTGGTGTGGTTATTTCTTTCCAAAACTGTTCTACTGAATTATTATGCTAAAAGCAACCTTCCTGTAATTACAGGAGCATGTGTAAATAATTGAAAGTCAACATAAAGCTATACATTACAATTCTGTTTGTAATAAACTTCCTCAGTTTGCCGTCATGTTTGTATATTATATTAACAAATAAGAATTTTTATGAAACATTTATTTTAAAGCTATCTTATTTTATTTCTTCTAGCATTTTTTGCTGATACTTGTAGAGGACATGAGATTCATATATAAAAAAACAAAAAAATTTTTTTCTTATGAAACCAGTTTTCCAGGAATAGTAATAGTAATACATAAATACCTTCCCCCATTCCTTCAGATTTTTAAGTTTATCTCATCATAGAGGCAATTTACTCCTTTAATGGAAATACCAGTCTCCTAATAATCCTGAGTAATTGATATAAAGACTTCAATAGTTGGGTGAGAACCTTCAGGTCCCCCTTATATATTTTAGCTGCATTTCAGATGACTGAATTCCACATACTGAATTCTCAGTGGTGGTGTGTCTCTGTAGAACTTCTCATGATGCCATTTGATGCTTTTGGAGTCTTCAGCCCAGGTGCTTAAGTTGCTCATTTCATTAAGGACTATCTTATGAAATCTTTCCACTGGGTACCTGATATAGAGTCATTTAGCTGTTAGGGGCATGTTTGGTTTTAATCTAGCCAGGTCCCAGCCTAGTGTTTATTGCATAGAACAATATTGCTTTACCAGACTTTTTGAGGGAGCCAGTAAAAATGTGACTGAAGTTAGTCATTCTAAGTAATATTATTTAAAGACATTTAATTCTTTTGTTATAAAATGCAAACCCAGAGTCTGGGTGGCAGTGTAATAAGTGATGGAAAATGGAGGTACTTCGTATGTTATTTTATGTGCCTTTTATTGACATTGACATCTTTATGCTGATTTCTCTAGTGCCTGATCTTAGTTTTGATTTTAAATGATAGAACTTTAAAGTCAAAGCAGACTTTTAAAATATTTGAAATAATTTCAAACTTAGAGAAAAGTTGCAAGAATAATACAGAAAACTCTCGTATCTTTTGTCTAGATTCACTGCTTTTTAGTTTGCCACATTTGCTTTGTTATTTTCATTCTTTATGCATATACATACCATTTCTTTTTCCTAAATCATATGTGCAGGGTACATACATCTTGCCCTTTTACCTCTTACTGTTTCAGTGGTGTTTTCTCTTATATATAACCACACTTTAGTTACCAAATTCAAGAAAACATTGATATACTACTTTATAGTTGATATTCCAAATTTGTCCTTTGTCCTAATGTTCCTTGTGGTAATTTAACTCCCTTTCTTTAGTCTTCCTTAACCTGGCACAGTTCCTTGGCCTTTAAAAAAATCGTTTATGACCTTGGCCTTTTTGCAGAATTCATTTTAATTATTTTGTGAAATGTTCTTTAATTTGGGTATGTCTGCTATTTCCTAGTGATTAGATTATACATCCATGGGTTTGCTACATAAATGATGTTGAATCCTTCTCAGGTTATCACATCCTACAGGCACACACAGTCTGTCAGACCATCATCGGTGATACTGATTTGGATCACCTGGTCTCACTATTGTCTGGTTTCTCTGTAGATAGTTACTATAATATTTTTTCCCTCTCAGATAAAAAGCTATTTTTGAAAGGACACTCTGTGACAATGTGCTAATATCCTTTCTCATGACACTTTCTCTTTTAAATTTGGTATCCATTGATGATGCTTGCCTGAACCAGTGATTACTATGATGGCTAAAAGTAGTGATTTTGCCAACTCTGTCACTCCTTTAGAAGATGATATTCTAGTATACAGAAAATTCTCCATTCTCTCCTTTTTTTCTTATTTATTATGAGTACGGATTCCTGGATTCCTATTTTATTCATTGAAGTGTAATTCATGACTGTCCTTATTTGATCTTCAAACTATCCCTGTGTTGGCCAGTGGGAACTCCTGTAAGCTGGTTTTTATGTCCATTAGATATTCTCCTATCATGTTTCTGAACACTACCTTTTTGGCACAACAGACTGTTCCAGCTCAATCTTGTACCTTCCCTATCTGAGCTCTAGAATCAGCCATTTCTTCAGGAATTCCTGGTTCTTTTTTATGGGGACTCGATTTTGGAAGCTAAGATTTCAGCTCACTGTTACCATGGTGTTACTCCTTCTAAACTTTTTTCCTAAGCTAGAAAAGATGTGTACTGTACATAAAAAATAATTTCAGAATTGTCACACTCATTTCTCTGTGAAAAACAAACCCACTAGGCAGTTCAGGATTTGATGATTACTCATAGGCTTAGCGTAAATATTCAAAATAATGTGTTCAAAAGTTACTTGAATTTGTCCTCCCCTGGCCCTTTCAGTGTGGTTATTCATGTGATATACAGTTGGCTTCATTTGTTTCTGTTTGCATTCAGTTGTACCCCCTTTATCTTACTGATTTTATTTTTTTTTAACATGCAGAAGTATATTACATCTGCAAAGATAAAAGCAATACCATAGCCATACATAGAGAAGTTTTCTGCCTCTTTATTCATTTCATCTTATTTTCCCCCAACCCTGGTAGGTAACCATATTTACTGTTTTCTAGTTTATTTTTCCTGCATTTCTTTTTGCAAAAGGAAGCAGATATATGTATTTTTCATTCTTACATAGAAGGTAGCATTCTATAGACACTCTCCAAAAGAGACTTTTCCAAACACCTTGTCTAAATCTTTTTAATTTACAGATGAAGAAATTAAGATTTAGTGCTTCCAAATGTGTTTAGTCTTTGATGTTCCTGTTTCTACTGTTCTTTGGTGCTTATCATTATTTTTAAAATGTTCTGTGTGCCTTGTGTGCTTTCTTGTCTTCCTTTTCTCTAACTTTAGTTGTGTAGATCAGTGGAATTTTCTTTTGATATTTTATATATGAATTATAAGTATATGAAAACATTTATGTGTAAGCCTGCATTCTTTTTAACAGGTGGTCAGTCTGACCAAGGATATGGGTCTAAGGATGAACTTATAAAGGATGATGCAGAAATTCATGTGCCTGAAGAACAAGCAGCAAAAGAATTGATAACTAAAACAGAAATGCAAACAGAAGGTTAAATACTGATATTTATGAACTTTACTTAGAATAATACCTGTATTATTAATAATTAAAAGTTTATCTTAGTTGATAGCTTTGATGATTATTTTCACAAATGTGAGGTCCGGCTCTTAAGATGCTACATACTGTTATATAAGGTAGATTTCGGTAGTCTCTGAAGTTTAAGAGACCTTTATTTCTTTCTTTATGTTTTTTTTTTAGAGACAGGGTCTTGCTCTGTTGCCCAGGTTGAGTGCAGTGGCGAGACATGGCTTACTGCAGCCCTGATCTCCTGGCCTCATAGGACCTTCCTGCCTCAGCCCCCTGTCAGCTGGGACCACAGGCGCATGCCACCATGCCTGGCTAATTGTTAAATTTTTTGTAGAGACAAGATCTCACCATGTTGCCCAGGCTACTCTTGACTTCCTGAGCTCAAGAGTGCTTTCTGCCTCTGCCTCCCAGAGTGCTGGGATTACAGTTGTGGGCCACCACACCTGGCCATAAGAGACCTTTAGAGATTCTGTAGGTCAGCCATTAATTTTGCAGGAAAGTATGACCCATTGAGGCATTTGCCAGAATTACATAGCTACTTTTGACAGAACCAGGACTAAATTTTGAGTCATCAAAACTTCTATTTTAGTGCCCTTTTTAATTTTAAAATGCTCTTTCACTAGCAGTCCTTTAAATATATAGGTGGATAGTTTTCATTCATGGGTTAAAAGTAGTCTGTGGTTTTCCCAGTTTTTATAGGACTCATTAAGGTAGAGATAATTTGTTGGAATCATTTTATGAAAATATAGAGGAATATTTTGGCTTATAGAATAAGATGTTCTTCCTCTTCGCTTTCAGAAAAGTGCACTTTCTTTGATGTTACTTATTTTATACTCCAGAATTATGGAGAAGCAAGCCCCATTCCTACTGGCCAAGTGATGAGAAGGAGAACTGAAGGCCAGAGAGACTTAATTGATTCACTAAAGAACATTCATGTTAGGATTATTGAATACTAAAACAAAGCATTTATTTCAGTTAATACTGGCAGCATTTATGGCATAAAATAAACCAGATACAGTCTATTTTACTTTGTGTCTGAAGTAAAATAGACACACTATTGGAGAAAACACACATACTATATAAAAATCAATATATGCTTTCTGTTTAATATTGGCAAAAGTAGGAAGGATAACATCCAAATATTTTTTTCCAGAGGTGTGTGATGCCTCTGCTATTGTGGCAAAACATTCACAACCGAGTCCAGAGCCTCACAGTCCTACTGAACCTCCTGCATGGGGCAGCAGTATTGTGAAAGTTCCATCTGGTATATTTGATATCAACAGCAGGAAATGTAGCACTGGTGAGTCTTTACATTTTGGTTATTAAATACTTAAAATATACTTCTATACACACATATGTATCTTAAATGACATTAAATTGTTTACCTAGTTGTAATGAACATGCTAAAGAGCCAGAAGGGACTTTCGAATTCTATAAATAGGCTAAAGAAATTGAAATATTTTTACTTAAATGTGTTTGACTTTTAAAAGGAGTATTTGGTATATTTAGTTGTTATTTGGAATACCCTTTCCTGTTGTGGTGACTGTTCTCCATTTGGCCACTGTTTCTCATTGTGGATAATGAGAGAGTGTACTTGTAGGGCTTCCTGTATGCATCATGAGCAGAGAGGCAGTGATGTGATCAAATCCCAGAGGGCTTATGAATGGCAGGCTAATTCCTATCAGTGAAGGGAAGTGGAAGACAAAGATTCACATCATTTCCCCTCTACACAGATATGCCAGTGGGGCTTTAGTTTTGGCCATTGTTATAGGTACCCCAAGCCACTTCTTATTTGTGATTGTAATAAATAACTCTGCGTGCATGACTCCCATGAAAGTGGTTTTCTACTTTCATTTATGTTGTAGGCCTTCCAAGAGTCTTATGGCACACATATAAGTATATGATTTTTGGTTTTTTTTTGAGATGGAATCGTTGCTCAGGCTGGAGTGCAGTGGTGGGATCTCAGCTCACTGCAGCCTCCACCTCCCGGGTTCAAGCAATTCTCTGCCTCAGCCTCCCAAGTATCTGGGATTACAGGCACCGCCACCACGCCTGGCTAGTTTTTGTATTTTTAGTAGAGACAGGGTTTCACCATTCTGGCCAGGCTGGTCTTGAATTCCTGACCTCCTGATCTACTCGCCTCAGTTTTCCAGAGTGCTGGGATTACAGGTGTGAGCCACTGCACCTGACCTCTAAGTATATGATTTTAAAAGACAATGAAATTGACCTGCATCCTTTGCTGTTCATTAGCGGTGGCTACAGTTCACTTTTCTAAAGTTGACTCTCTTGTCTGAAAATGTATCTATTGTGTGACTTTACAGAAATTAGTTCAGATTCTTAAACCAATATAAAAGCACTCCTTGTTCTTAAAGTCTTTTCTCTTTGTATTTACTGTGACTCCAAGTTTCACTCACTACATTTTTGGGTAGTGCTCAAGAGATGGGGCTAGAGGTTTTTTGAGAAAATAATTGAAAAACACATTGCAGATCCCATTTTCCTAACCTCTTGATAGCAAAGATGCTGGGGAAATAGAGTGAAGAGTTTTCTTCATCACAGGCTTAGAATCCTGTAAGAATATTGAACTGGACATGGTCTGTGGACTTTTGTGTTACTTTCCCTTTTAACTTACCTTATTTTCCTGTTAAGAATGAAGGGCAAGGATAATGGGACTTTTGTCAATATAGCGAATATTTTTTAAATTGAATAAAATATGCTGTTAAATTCCTGGAAGTACTATAAAAACCAGTAATATTTGCAAAGATTTGTTTCTCAAATATTGGGAACAGCCTTTAAAGCAGGTACATATTTTGAGTTGTAAAATAGGTTAGTTTAATTCCCATTAAGGCTTAAAAAGAATATCTCTAAATGCTTATTCTGATTAATTGATATAAATATGATTATTAGTACTAACTTGAAAGATTAAAAAGAACCTTGAAATCAATCTTGAGGTTTAAAAGATCTTATCTAAGACAGCCTTCTTCCTTGAAGCTCCCAGACATTATGCTTTTTAACACAACATATGATGTGACTACAGTAAAAGGCACTGATAAAAAGAAAACAAAGGAAAGTAAACACAAATGAGAATCCTAAATATGAAATTTTCAGGCTGCTACACAGTTTTTGAGACAGGTCTCACTGTGTCACTTAGGCTGGAGTATAGTGGCACAGTCATGTCTCACTGCAGCCTCGACTTCCTGGGCTCAAGCAATCGAGGATTCTCCTGCCTCAGTCCCCCAAGTAGCTGGGATTACAGGTGAGTGGCACCACGCCTGGCTAATTTTTCTATTTTTTTTGTGGAGACAGGGTTTCACCATTTTGCCCAGGCTGATCTTGAGCTCCTGAGCTCAGGTGATCCACCTGCCTCAGCTTCCCAAATTGCCGGGATTACAGGTGTGAGCCACTGGGCCTGGCCTGACCCTAACTTAAACAAAACAAAACAAAACAAAAAAAGAAAGAAGAAAATTTTTTTCTTATAGTTCTAGGGACTGTAAAGTCCAGGATTAGGGTGTTAGCATGGTGAGTTCTGCAGAGGGCCCTCTTCCAGGTTGCAGACTGCTAGCTTCTTATTGTATCCTCGCACAGCAGAGAAGGAGAGAGCTCTCAGGGTTTTCTTCTAGAAGGGCTCTAATCCCATTGATCAGGGTTCCACTTTCATGATCAAATTATCTTTCAAAGGCCCTGTCTCCTAATAACTGTCTCATTGGGGATTAGGATTTCAACATGTGGATTTTGGGGGACACAAACATTCAGTCTGTAACAGGTAGACTTAAGTTCTAATAATGATTCAAATAGGAAATAATAGCTTTTGGTCTTGGAGTGAAGCAAATTACATGGTAGCAAAGAGCAGAAGTCTGCTTGCTTCTTCCAAAGCTGAGGGAAGCCTCTATGGCCACTAGCATGTTTTTGCTTTACCTGATCAAATAAGACCAACTTCTGTGAAGGCTGAGATTATTTCTGTTTTATTTGCTTTTGTATTCTTAGCACCTCATATAGTGGATATTAGTAGGTGTTTAGATATTTGTTGAAGAAGTGGATATATCTGGATTATTTTTTAACCACTCAGATTTTATCAGCCTTTTTTTTTTTTTTTTTGGTGGAGACAAGAGCCTCAAACCGTCACAGTTGCCTAGGCTGGAGTGCTGTGGCATAATCTCAGCTTACTGCAACCTCTGCCTCCGGGGTTCAAGTGATTCTCCTGTCTCAGCCTCCTGAGTAGCTGGGATTACAGGTGCCTGCCACCAGGCCCAGCTAATTTTTTGTATTTTTAGTAGTGACGGGGTTTCACCGTGTTGGCCAGGCCAGTCTCAAACTTCTTACCTCCTGATTTGCCTGCCTCAGCCTCCCAAAGTGCTGTGATTACAGGCATGAGCTACCACGCCCAGCCAGCTTTCTTAGATTTGCCAGCGCTAAGCATTCCATTCCAGATTCTTTTACTTTACAGTAGTAGGGCTGTGAGTATAGCAAATATACAATTCCTCTACAATTACAAATTTGCTTTTTGTAGAGTAGATTCCTAGCAAGTATTTGTTGAATGGGTACAAAACTAAGATGTAAGAGATTCTTTCTTTTTCTGTGTTTTAGTGAACAACACAGACATATCCATCTATCATATATTGCATGATTTGTTTTTTTAAATGGGTGTTTATATACATACAGGATGAAAGACAGGTTATACATTAAAATGGTTTAAATAGCTTTTCCAGGGTACTTTTTAAAAAATACCTTCTTTATAGCCTCTGAATTTTCTAGGTCTTTTATTCTGTGTATATGTCACATTTGTAATCAGGAAAACAGTGAACATTTTAATAAAAGTTAGCTTGGAAAATAGAGATTCATTGTTAATATTTTTGCTTTCACTTTTAGGTAGTATATCAAATGTGCTGTTTTCTACTCAAGATCCAGTAGAAGATGCAGTCTTTGGTGAAGCTACTAATCTCAAGAAGAATGGTGTTAGAGCAGAAAAAAGACAAAAGCATTTTCCTGAGAGGAGTTGTAGTTTTAGTTCTGAAAGTCGAGCAGGAATGTTGCTTAAGAAGAGTAGTCTGGATTTGAATTCAAGTGAAATGGCTATCATGATGGGAGCAGATGCCAAGATTCTCACAGCAGCATTGACATGCCCTAAGACTTCTCCACTTCATAACGCAAGAACCCATAGCTTTGAGAATGTTAGCTGTCACCTACCTGATAGTAGGACTTGTGTGTCTGAAAGCACTTGGAATCCTGGGCACAGATCACCTGTGGTGCCAGAGATACTTGAGGAAAGCCAAGAACTCCTTGAGCCTGTGGTTGATGACATAGCTAAAACTACTGCAACAGAGGATACGTATGAGAGTCTACTCAGTGATAGTGCCAGTAATCAGTCCACAGACTTGAAAATAGGATCCAGAGATCTGAAGAATAAGAGAAGTAGTTTATATGGTATTGCTAAGGTGGTTGAGAGGGAAGATGTTGAAACCGGACTAGATCCTTTGTCTCTTTTAGCCACTGAATGTACAGGGGAAAAAACTCCTGATTCTGAAGATAAGTTATTTTCTCCAGTTATTGCACGTAATCTGGCTGATGAAATAGAAAGCTATATGAACCTAAAAAGCCCCCTAGGTAGTAAATCTTCTAGTATGGAATTACACGGAGAGGAAAACAGGGAGTCTGGCATGACTGCTACATTTATTCATGCTCTAGAGAGGAGATCAAGCCTACCTTTAGATCACGGTTCACCAGCACAGGAAAATCCTGAAAGTGAAAAGAGCTCACCTGCAGTGTCCAGGTCTAAAACTTTTGCTGGGCGTTTCAAGCAGCAAACTCCCTCTCGAACTCATAAAGAACGTTCAACTTCTTTGTCAGCGCTAGTGCGTTCTTCACCGCATGGCTCACTGGGTTCTGTAGTAAATTCTTTGTCAGGATTAAAGCTGGATAATATACTCTCAGGGCCCAAGATAGATGTCCTAAAATCTGGCATGAAACAAGCAGCGACAGTAGCCAGTAAGATGTGGGTAGCTGTTGCATCTGCCTACAGCTACTCAGATGATGAGGTAAGAAAGCTTGATGTGTGTAGTCTATCTGCTATTGGAATGTTTATAGTATCTTTCTAGAAATATATGTATTATTATTAAGAGATTTCTGTGCCCAGGCTGGAGTGCAGCGGCGTGATCTTGGCTTCCTTGCAACCTCTGTCTCCTAGGTTTGAGCGATTCTTCTGCCTCACCCTCCTGAGTAGCTGGGACTACAGGGTTGTGCCACCAAGCCTGGCTAATTTTTGTATTTTTGGTAGAGACAAAGTTTTGCCATGTTGGCCAGGCTGGTCTTAAACTCCTGACCTCAGGTGATCCACCCTTATCGGCCTCCCAAAGTGCTGGGATTATAGGCATGAGCCACTTTTCCTGGCTGATTTCTGATAACTTTGGTTTTTATATTTTGTATAGTCTATCTGATACTGGAGTGTCTGTATATCTTTTTAAAAATATGTGAGGGATTATTAATAGAGTTCTGGTAACTTTGGTTTTCATATTTTAAAATTATGCATATTTGGTTTCTTTCTTGAAGTAACTTGAACATACATGTAAAGAAGTTGATAATGTAGAAATAGAATATCAGGATTACTTTATAATTCCATAGACTAGTCTAAACTAAAACATTGTTTATTTTTTTGAAACTTCTAATGATTAGCGTTTGAAGTTAATAAAAATGCCATATTATATTTGTGTAGCAATCACTTTTAAAATAATTTTTACCTATGTAATCTCCTTAATACATGTGAAGTCAAGCTGCAGCTTAATCCATAGATTTCATACTACATGATAAACATAATTGTCTTAAAAAAGCATTATAAATAGAGTAGTTAATCATTAGATCTTTTGATGAAAATGAAAGTGGGCAAATTTTGCTTGTTTTACAGAAAAAAATGGAAATGTCACCTTGTATGCAAAGAATTGTATAATATTTGAGTACTTTAGTAGAAAAGGCAGATATCTATATGTTGCTGTCATTTTTTAACAGTATGTCCTAGGTACTGTTATAAGCTATATGTCTATTTTATATATGAATATATACAAACATGGTATTTAATTTTCATAGCAACTCCATGAGGATGATACTATGGTTATCCTGATTTTGTAGATGATATATGAAATTCAGAGAGGCTAATTAGCTTCCCAAGATGACATAACTAGGGAATGGTGGAACTATGATTTGAAGTCTGGGAGATTGGCTCCAGAGTCCAGGCTCTTACTGTAGAAGCAGTATCTCAGGAGAAGATACCAAAGAGCAATATATGAAAAGAGGTTCATGTTGGGGGCTATCCAGGAAAAAAAACCAAAGCAGGTGATATGTAAGTTGGGATTTGAAGGATACATTTGACATTTGGGGTTAAAGCTGTAAGAAGATTGTCAGAAGAGTATATCTGAAAGAATAATGTGAAATGGCATGAAAGCTTAAAATATCATACACTTTCAAGATAATCAATTTCAGGTTATTAAAGGTCTAAATCAGAATTAGAGACATGGGAAAAGAAATTAGACAAATAAGACTTTTATACCATTTGAAGGAAAACTTTATAGGCAAAATAATAATTGAATTAAAATTGTAGTATTGGGCATTATAAATTAACTATTTTGTATTTAAAGAGCTTATCAAATCAGTCAAGGGAAGGCAAAATAAAATAGCTTCCAAAGTGTCTTAACCTGGCATTATGAGGAAAAAAAAAAGTGTATCATTTTATTTTATTTTTATTTTATTTTTTGAGATAGGGGCTTGCTTTGTTACCCAGGCTGGAGTACAGTGGCACAGACATGGCTTACTGTAGCCTTGACCTCCTGGGCTCAAGCAGTCCTCCTGCCTCAGCCTCCTGATTGCTCCACCATGCCTTCTAATTTTTTATTTTTTGTAAAGATAGGGTCTTGCCATGTTGCCCAGGCTGGTCTTGAACTTCTGGGCTCAAGTGTTCCTAGGTCTCCCAAAGTGCTGATATTACAGCCATGAGCCAATGCACCCGGCCTTCATTTTATTTTTGAAATTTTATCGAAGTTGGGTATGAGGAGTCATGCGTCTAATCCCAGCCCTTTTGGAGGTTGAGGTGGGCAGATTGCTTGAGCCCAGGAGTTTGAGAGTAACCTCGGCAACATGGCAAAACCCTATCTATACTACAAATACAAAAATTAACTGGGCATGGTGGCATGCACCTGTAGTGCCAGCTACCCTGGAAGATGAGGTGGGAGGATAGCTTGAGCCCAGGAGGCAGAGGTTGCAGTGATAGGAGGTCACACCACTGCATTCCAGCCTGGGTGACAGAGACCTTATCTCCCCTCTCCCGCCCCCCAAAAAATTATCTGTTAAAAATAAAAATACATTCCACAGGGTTATTTGAACTTGGAGTATATGACACTGTAAGTTCCAAGTCACCGTGGATCTGATCTTGTCTTTTCATTGTTGTAGTAGCCCTGGCACCAGTAAGCAATACCTGGCAAAAGACAAATAGTATATACTTAATAAATATTTACAAATAAAAGAATGAATAAAAAGCCTATAAAATGTTTATAACTCATCCAGAGTTTAAGGAAATAATTAGAGGTATATATAAAAATAGAGGAATTTACCAATGTAATTTATATAATATTTGAAACATTTTGAATGTTTAAGCAACAGGGGAGTTAGTAAGTATGTAATAGTGTATCAGTAAAACAAATGAGTTCACAGGGGTTTAAATAATTAGAAGAAAATTTACTGACACTAAAATAGTTATATAAGAAGTACAAGTTAACAATATTCTAATTTGTAAAGATTTATTATATGATTTTATATGTATATTTTAAATGACTAGAAGGCTATATATCAAGATTTTGATTTTATTCGCTGACTGTTGGTGTCAAATGTTTTTTCTTCCTTGTTTTACTTAACTGTATTTAATTTTTAAAAATCATTTAACATGATTTTTATAACAAGGAAGACACAAATCTTTTATTTTTACAGCAGAAAACCTGATTATTGAAATGTTTTTCCATCTAAAGCTTCAACAATCACTTATGTAGTTAAGAACTACAGTGTTTGAAACTTTATTCATGTTTTGTGCCTCTAATATTGATATTTGTTATTCTGAACATTCATATTCCCAGCAGAAATGATCACAACAGCCTTATTTGAAACAACTCATATTATCCATATTTTCAGATTACATAATTAAAATTTAGAGAAGTTTAGTAATTTCTGTAAGGTTACATACCTAATAAATAGTGATGAAGAAGGTCATAACCTGGCTGGCTGACTCAGAAGCCCCTACTCTGCTTGCACTGGGATCCTCAATTCCATTGGAGACAGTGAGCTCCCTAGAATACTGTTATTTTATACAATTGAATATTGAGACACACCCAGACCTCCCACATGCACCTGAGGCACAACATGATCTTTCTTAAAGTATTGTTGTTTATGGCTTGAGTGTCTTAGAGTGTGGAAGGGAAGTTCCAATTCATGGTTTTGAAAAATGGGGGGATAATTTGTTTAAGGATTATAGAGTTTTCTGAAAAGGGTAGAGTGAGTATGTTCCCATTGGAGAAGGTATTATTTATGTATGTGGAATTTTATTTTTTTCAATTAAAGGAAGAAACTAGTAGAGACTACAGCTTTCCAGCTGGCCTCGAAGACCATATTTTGGGGGAGAATATGTCACCTAACACAAGTATCTCAGGGTTGGTCCCCAGTGAACTTACCCAGAGCAACACAAGCCTTGGCAGTAGCAGCAGTAGTGGAGATGTAGGAAAACTGCATTATCCAACAGGTATGGGGAAGGATTTTCCTTTCTTTGTTTGCTTCATAATAGTCTTTGCTTTCTTTTTTTAAAAAATTATTTTTATTTAAAAAAATTTTTTTTTAAGAGACAGGATTTTGTCATGTTGCCCAGGCTGGTCTCAAACTCCTGGGCTCAAGCAGACTGCCTGCCCCTGCCTCCCAAAGTGCTGGGATTACAGGTGTGAGCCACAGAACCTGGCCTGTCTTCACTTACTTTAATTTAGATGCCTGTAACTTCCCTGCTCCCCAACAAGCCCCATTTGTTGAGATGACTGAGACATTTTTAATACTAGCTGCCTTACCATCTATTCTGATCTTGCATGATTTATAACTACTGTGATCACCTACTGCCTTTGCTTTTGGTTGTATATATTTGTGGGCTATATCGTTAGTTCTCAAACTGTGGCATGCATCAGAATAATCTGGGGAAATTGTTTTAAAATATATGCAAATGTCCAAGCCTCACGCTAAAACTTCTGAGACTGAATTTGTGAGGTGGAGCCTTGGGATGTGTATTTTTTAAGCAGCTCTCTCTGGGTGAATCAGACATATACAAGAGTTTGAGAATCCCTAGGCTGTGTCATTGAATTTTCTTTCTCCATATTACTTTTTTTTTTTTCTTTTTTCTTTTTTCTTTTTTTTTGAGTCGGAGTTTCGCTCTTGTCACCCAGGCTGGAGTGCAATGGCGCAATCTCGGCTCACCGCAACCTCCGCCTCCTGGGTTCAGGCAATTCTCCTGCCTCAGCCTCCTGAGTAGCTGGGATTACAGGCACGCGTCACCATGCGCAGCTAATTTTTTGTAGTTTTAGTAGAGATGGGGTTTCACCATGTTGACCAGGATGGTCTCGATCTCTTGACCTCATGATCCACCCGCCTTGGCCTCCCAAAGTGCTGGGATTACAGGCGTGAGCCACCGCGCCCGGCCGTCCATATTACTTTTTAAAATTATAATTCTTTTCTTTTTCTTTGACTTTTTATTATAAAAATTTCAAATGTCTGGGCCGGGTGCGGTGGCTCACACCTGTAATTCTAGCACTTTGGAAGGCCGAGGCGCATAGATTGCCTGGGCTCAGGAGTTCGAGACCAACCTGGGCAACACATTGAAACCCTGTCACTACTAAAATACAAAAAAAATTGGCTAGCTGTGGCAGCGTGCACCTGTAATCCCAGCTACTTGGGAGGCTGAGGCAGGAGAATCGCTTGAACCTGGGAGGCAGAGGTTGCAGTGAGTCGAGATCATGCCATTTGTACTCCAGCCTGGGTGACAGAGCAAGACTCCATCTCAAAAAAAAAAAAAAAAAAAAATTCAAATGTCCTGAAAGTTGAAAGAATTGCATAATGAACGATCATGTATTTTCCAACTAGATTTAATTAAGTATTGTTAACTTTATGTATGCATACATTTTTATATTGAGCCAATTGAAAAACGTTTGCAGACTTTATGATATGTCTCCCCTAAATACTTTGGCATACATTTTCAAAAAACAGGGTCATTCCTTGTGTAAGGTTTTATGATGTTTATTCCTTTGTAGGTGAAGTTCCATTTCCAAGAGGTATGAAAGGACAAGACCTTGAAAAATCAGATCATGGTTCTTCTCAAAATACCAGCATGTCTAGCATCTATCAGAATTGTGCAATGGAGGTAAAAGTTCTATATTCAGTTCATGATAAAGTAGCTGTAAGCATATTTTTATTTCAGATTGGCATTTAACAGGATTCTATTATACCCTTGGGGACAGTATATATAATAAAGTAAGTCATTTTGTTGAATTTGTTTGATGTCCTATTTAAAATAATGAACTGGTAGTTTACCTGTGAAATAATAGAACTGTTAAAAATTCCAAATTTGATAAATGGAATAAATAAAATCCCATTATCTCAAGAAAATTCCTGTTAAGATTAATTTTTATTAGAGGTTCTCAGTGTCTGCATTTTTCTGTTTTTAGGTTTTGATGTCCAGTTGTTCACAGTGTACCACTTGTGGAGCTTTAGTCTATGATGAAGAAATTATGGCTGGATGGACAGCAGATGATTCAAATTTGAATACAACTTGTCCATTCTGCAAAAGCAATTTCTTGCCTCTTCTCAATATAGAATTCAAAGATTTGAGAGGTTCTGCAAGGTTAGTATTATAAAAGCTCCCTCAAGAAATAAGCACCCCCAAAAGAAATGAGTTCTGGGAGAAGAGTGAAATATTCATGGTATGCTCCAGGTCTGCCTTCCTATCTTTCCTTCGCTTTCAGTATTTGAGTACGAATACTAGTAATGTGGGAGCCTACTTTTCCATTTTATTTAAAGTAGGATTATCAGCCAGGTGCCATGGCTGATGCCTGTAATCTCAACATTTTGGGAGGCCCAGGTGGGATGATTTCTTGAGGTCAGGAGTTTAAGACCAGCCTGGGCAACATGGCAAGACCCTGTGTCTACAAAAAAATTTTTTTTAATTGGCTGGGCATGGGAGTCTGCACCTGTGGTTGCAGCTACTAGAAAGGCTGAGACAGGAGGATTGCATGAACCCAGGAGTTTGAAACTGCTTTGAGCATGTAATTTAAAAGAAGCAAAGGGGGAAGAAAAGGCTTCAACTCTTCTCTTATCACTTGCACTTCCTGGCAGTGTTCTGTGCAGTGAAATTACCAAATTCTAGGCAATAGAAAGGAGACTAGCTGATCTATAATCAGACATTCAATAATTGAGAGTTTGGTAACACTATGCTGACCTAAGGGATTATACTGTTTGTTTTATGGAACAAATTGAACTTTTTATTATTTTCTGTCTTTAGCTGCTTTAAAAAAAATACATTGCTGGGTACAGTGGCTCACGCCTGTGATCGTAGCACTTTGGGAGGCCAAGGCAGTGAGATTGTCAGAGCTCAGGAGTTTGAGACCAGCCTGGGCAACATGGTGAAACCCCGTCTCTACTAAAATACAAAAAAATTAGCCAGGTGTGGTGGCGTGCGCCTGTAGTCCCAGCTACTCAGGAGGCTGTGCCAGGAGAATTGCTTGAACCTGGGAGGTGGAGGTTGCAGTGAGCCGAGATTGCGCCACTGTACTCCAGCTTGGGCGACAGAGCGAGATTCTGTCTCCAAAAAAAAAAAAAAGTACATTTAGACCTGGTGCGATGGCGCACACCTGCAATCCCAATACTTTGGGAGGGCAAGGCAGGTGGATCACTTGATGTCAGGAGTTTAAGATCAGCCTGGGCAACATGGCAAATCCCCATTTCTACAAAAAGTACAAAAAAGGTTAGCCAGACATGGTGGCACATGCCTGTAGTCTCAGGTACTCAGGAGACTGAGGTAAGAGAATGGTTTGAACCCAGGAGGTGGAGGTTGCAGTGAGCTGAGATCATGCCACTGCACTCTAGCCTGGGCTACAGAGTGAGACTCCATCTCAAAAACAAACAAACAAAAACATTTAATTGTAGAGGTGTTTCTTCTCTGTTTTTCTTTTAGCTTCAGGCATGGGGGTAAGTCAAATCATACTGTTTAATTCCTGACACACTATCATCTTTGGCCTGTGCAAGGGCCTTCTTGTATTTATTCTCCTTTCCCCATTCCCATCCTCATTCACTTATTCTACAAAGACACTGACTCTGCTAAGTGTGATATATATCTCAATTTATTTATTTTTATTACTCAGTTTAAAATCTGAGTTACTATGTGTATATCTGGTTTATGCCTGTTCTCCTACAGTAACTTAATATGTCTTTGTAGTTATCCATTATTCTAGTGTTAGATACTTCAATTGCTATCAGTTCTCTATTACAACAAACGTCACTGTGGTAATGCAGTGCACTGCACAATACGTATCCCCTTTTGGACTTGTGAAGTAGTTTCTCTCAGAAATAATCCTTGGAGTGAGATCATTTTTATACATGATTTTAGTAAACACAAAATATTGCTTCCCAGATGGCTACACTCCCACAAGAAGTAGTACTCAAGAATTCTCATTCTTTATCTTTTCTTTTCTTTTTTTTTTTGGAGATGGAGTCTTACTCTGTTGCCAGGCTAGAGTGCAGTGGCATGATTTTGGCTCAGTGCAACCTCCGCCTCCTGGGTTCAAGCAATTCTCCTACCTCAGCCTCCCAAGTAGCTGGAACTGACTACAGGCATGTGCCACCACGCCCAGCTTATTTTTGTATTTGTAGTAGGGATGGGGTTTCACCATGTTGGCCAGGATGGCCTCGATCTCTTGACCTCATGATCTGCCCGCCTCGGCCTCCCAGAAATTCTCATTTCTATATGGCCTTACCAGCATTTGGTATTATCACTTTTTAAATTTTGGCAGTTTGAATACTGACAGATTTGAGTGTCTCTTAATTATTTTGTTATTCTAGAATTTTTTTTTTGGAGACAGAGTTTCACTCATGTTGCCCAGGCTGGAGTGTAATGGCGCAATATCGGCTTACTGCAACTTCTGCCTCCTGGGTTGAAGCAATTCTCCTGACTCAGGCTTCTGAGTAGGTGGGATTACAGGTGTCCTCCACGCCCAGCTAATTTTTGTATTTTTAGTAGAGACAGGGTTTCGCCATGTTAGCCAGGCTGGTCTCGAACTCCTGACCTTAGGTGATCACCCCACACCTTGGCCTCCCAAAGTGCTGAGATTACAGGCTTTAGCTACTGCACCTGGCCTATTCTAGCATTTTCTGTGAATTGCCTCCTTATATTCATTGCCTATTTTTCTATTTGTTTCTTTTTCCTGTTGATTTGACTTGAATATTATTGATACTAATATTTTGAAGAGAAAGCATTGATTTTGATTTCATTATCCATTAATTTTTTACCTTGCAATTTGTACTTTTGGAATCTTGCTTTAAAAGTTATTCCCTATACCTAGAATGTGAAAGTTTTCTCCTTGAACATTTCTGCTTATATTTTACTTTTGATATTTAGGTCTTTAATATATCTGGATTTTACTTTTTATATATGATGGTAGAGATCCAGCTTTTATTTTTCTTCCATATAAAAATCCAGTTATCCCAATATTATCTACTAAATAACCGATCCTTTTCTCACTGATATGTGGTGTCACCTTTATCATATTTCAGTTCCCATGTATACCTCATTTCGTTCTGTATTTTCTTGCTGTTTTTCTTAATGCCATATTTTTTTTGTCGGTTGGTCTTTGTGTTATATCTGGTTAGTAGGTTGAGTTCCTGCTCTAGGATTTTATTGTTATTATATTTTGTGTGCTTACTCTTTCCTATGAATTCTTAGATTGTTTGAGGTCTTCAAAAAATACACAAACACAGACATACACACAACTAGAGTTTTCCTTGAGATTGCATTAGATTTATAGATTAACGTGGGAAAAATGGACTTTTCTAATATTATTGTCTTATCTATGAGCCTGGTATATCTCTGTATTTTTTTTTTTTCAGATCTTCTTTTATGTCCTTTAACACAGGTTTAAATTATTCTCTGTAAGTCCTATCCTTTTTTGTTGAGTTAATTGTGTTTTTAAGCTATTGTGACAAGCATTTTATTTTATATTTTTCAAATTGGGTATAAAGGAGCATTATTAAGTCTGTCCCCTGAATATGTTGTTATAGAAAATTTCAAGCTTACAACAAAGTTTAAAAGTTTTTTTCTTTTTTTTTTTTTTTTTTGGAGACGGAGTTTCGCTCTTGTTACCCAGGCTGGAGTGCAATGGCGCGATCTCGGCTCACCGCAACCTCCGCCTCCTGGGTTCAGGCAATTCTCCTGCCTCAGCCTCCTGAGTAGCTGGGATTACAGGCACGCACCACCATGCCCAGCTTATTTTTGTATTTTTAGTAGAGACAGGGTTTCACCATGTTGACCAGGATGGTCTTGATCTCTTGACCTCGTGATCCACCCGCCTCGGCCTCCCAAAGTGCTGGGATTACAGGCTTGAGCCACGGCGCCCGGCCTAAAAGTTTTCTTCAATGAACACCCAAATATCTCTACCCCTACGTCCTTCAATTTACACTTTACTATACTTAGTCTATCACCTGTCTGTCTCTCCACCAATCTGTCTTAAATTTTTACTCATTTGAAGGTAAGATAGAGATATTAATACATTTCTCCCCCAAAGACTTTGGTATGCATATCATTAACTAGAGCTCATTATTTATTGACAGATTTCTTTCTTTTGAGATAAATTGTTACACAGCAAAATGTACAAATCTTAAAACATTCCATTTGAAGAATAAATGCATGCATTTGTGCAAAAATTAAACCCTTAGAAAACATTACCATTACCTCAGAAAATTCTCGAATGTTCCTTGCAAGGCCCTTCCCTCCCTGAGTCTCCACCCAAAAAGAGAAGGAGAGAGATAAGATGGAAATAAAACAATGAACAGAGAAGAAATGACTAGAAACAAGATGGAGATTTATAAGTGATAAAAAGGGGCATTATAAGCAATATAGATGAATATATCTTAAAATGCTGCTGCTGCAGCTCTTTACTTTTTTTTTTTTTAAGTCAGGAAATGAATAAAATATTTTGCTTCCCCTCTTCCTTCCTAGTTTTCTTTAGTGGTTCTCAAAAATGGAAAAATCTTTTATTGGACTACTTCCAGCCTTTTATTTGAAAGGTTTACCATAGGAGGGGAAGATAACAGGAATGTGAGAGAGAGAGAGAGTTTGTGTGTGTGTTTGAAATGGGCAGCATTTTCCTTCTGGAATATATATAATTTTATTAATGATTCCTTTATCCATAAAATGATTCTAAATATGATAGAATTTAGAAGACTAGAGGATTGTTAAAGGCTCTTTCCCCCCGCTTTTCCATGTGTAGCTTTTTCCTGAAACCAAGTACTTCTGGTGACAGTTTACAAAGTGGAAGCATTCCACTGGCAAATGAATCCTTGGAGCACAAACCTGTATCCAGTTTAGCAGAACCTGACTTGATCAACTTTATGGATTTACCAAAACATAACCAGACCATAACTGAAGAAACAGGCTCTGCAGTTGAACCAAGGTATCAAAGAGTACAGAGACTTCTTTATATAATAAGAAATGGGGTACCCTTGTAAAAATTCTGTCTCTAAAGACAACGTGACTCATGTGAGCATAAGTTTCTAGCATTTAAAAGTACATCCTAACTTTTTATTACCATGTAGTGTTTAAAGAACTAATGAATGAATCTGATGATAAACCATTTTTGAACTGAGTTTAATATTTTATAGTAGTCTTTTGCAAAATAAACTTCTCAACAGTAAAATATTCCCCTTTAATGTAGTCATTGCCAATTTTCAGAGGAGAAATACTATTTTCTGTGAAATGTACACTTGACCTTTAACTACTAATTGAATCAAACATTTATTGAGACTCTATTGTATGCTAAACATTATGCTAAGCTCTAAAAATAAAAAAGTAAATATGATTGGGACTCTCTCCTTAGGTGGATCACAGCCCAGTAGAGATTAAATACTTGTCAGTGTCTTTACATACTTATTTGCATGTAGCATACTTCTAGGTAATTTTGTTTAATAAAGATGAAATAATATTTGAGTAAAGCAACTGAATGGGTACTTGTCTTTTTAAAGTAATACCTGTATATGTACAATATGTCATCTTCCCACCCCTCACCAGAACTGTCTACACCATCTTGTTTTTCTGACCAGTTATACAAAACTGCCTGAAGAAAATGCAGTTCTTACAAGGTGGCACTGAATTCTTCTTAGATATATTTAGTAGGCTCGTGGTCCATTGCAGAAAATACTCTAGCTCTACAGATTTAGACTGTTTTTCAACATGAACATAGCATTTCTTCTACATTTTTTTTAAAGTGATGAAATAAAGAGAGCCAGTGGAGATGTCCAAACTATGAAAATTTCATCTGTGCCTAATAGTTTATCAAAGCGAAATGTATCTTTGACTCGAAGTCACAGTGTTGGAGGCCCCTTGCAGAATATTGACTTTACCCAGCGACCGTTTCATGGCATTTCAACAGTTAGTCTTCCAAACAGTCTGCAGGAAGTTGTGGTATGTAACAACATTGTAATTTTACTGCATACACATCTAAGTATATAGTAGAATGTTATAAACTCTTCTGTAGTAGACTTTTTAAAATTACATGAAAAGTGATAGATTAGGATTTTTCCGTAAACAAATAGCTTTATTGTGGAGAATTTCGAATATGTACAAAAAGAAACAATATAATAAGTCCCTTGACCCATCATCTAGCTTGGATAATTTTCAGTGTATAGCCATTCTTCTTTTATGTATACTCTCATTCAGTTCTCTTTTTTTTTGAGATTATTTTGAAGCAAATTTCAAACATCACAATTCTGTTAGTAAATATTTCAGTATGTGTACCTAAATGATGACTTTAGGAAAATGTAACTACACTGCTTCTATCATACAAAAAAACTCCCAAATAATATTATCAAGTTATTTAGTCAGTTCAAATTTCTGATTGTCTCAAAAATGTCAAATGCATATGTGTGTGTATATGTGTGGTTTGTAGCTTGAGGAATCAGCATCAAATAAAGTCCATTTATTACAGTTGGTTGGTATGGTTTTTAGTCTTTTTGAATCTGTAGATTCTTTTTTCCCTTTGCAATTTATTTGTTGGTAAAACTGGTTAGAGTATAGTTTCCTATAATCCAGATTTTGCTGATTGCAATGATAAAAGTTGGATTTGTATCCAGAACCTCGATCAGATTTGGGGGTTTTGTTTTATTGTTCATTTGCTTGTTTATTTTTATAAGACAATTTCATCAGTGGTGATATGTTCCTCGCATCAGGAGACACAAACATTAGTAGCTATTAATGCCTTAATAACTAGATAAAATAATTTATTAGGAGCTATAAAATGATAATAGTCTAATTCTGTCATTTCTTTTTTATAGTAAGGAATACCTTATAAACAGAAACTTCCCCTGCTTCAGCCTCCCTAGTAACTGGAAGTACAGGCACATACCACCGTGCCTTAAACATTTATCCTTAAATCTATTGCTGTTTTTATCCTTGTTGGTTCTTATATTATTCTCTTTGGTCAGCTAGAAGCCTCTACAAGTTAACTTATTAGTCCTTTTGACACAACTCTAGTAGTTTTTTTGTAATCTTTAAAAAGCTTTCTTGCTTTCTTATATAACAAGATGTTTCATGCTTATGTTATATATATTCTTACCCAGACCTAGAATCAGTCGTTTCTCTAAGAAACTGTGGGTCAATTTAGAGGGAAATGATTTTGGAGACCACAGTGTAGGCATGAGGGGGACTCACTGTTAATGAGAGAGTTTTAAACATTTTATCCTGATTATAATATGCATAACTCAAAAAGTCTAGGTTAGGTTTTTTTTTCGTTTCTTATTTCATTTGAATTTTTAAAATACTATTTCTTTAATTCCTTCAGTTTTTGTTGCAATCAGTTGTAAAAGTGAGTTAAGTCAACAAAGAATGTTAATACGAAAGATTGGCCCATCAGTTTAGAGTTGTAGGAGGAAGATAATATCACACAGTTTTTATACACATATTACTATAAATCATCTGAAATGCAAATATTTCTTATAAAAATTGAAAAAAAGTCTAATACATTCAGGCCATTGCTCTCAATGTGATAGAGAGTATGTTTTAAAGAGCCTGTTGATTAATTTTCTTTTGTAATGATTTAACTTAACAGTATTTAAGTATTTTCTTTTTTAGGTTTTCATTCATTAGGGTATTCTGCATGTAGCAATGGTCCTGAAATAACTGGTAGCAATAATCCTGAAGTAACTGATTTAAAAAGAATAGAGAGGCATTATCTCATTGAGAAGTACTCTTGAGCATGCAGATTTAAACAGATAATATTAATTTCTTTTTGTATTTTTTTGAAGGATCCTTTAGGAAAAAGGCCCAATCCTCTCCCTGTTTCTGTGCCCTACTTGAGTCCTCTAGTGCTTCGCAAAGAACTTGAGTCTTTGCTAGAAAATGAGGGTGATCAGGTGATTCATACATCTTCTTTCATCAATCAACATCCAATCATTTTCTGGAACCTCGTTTGGTATTTCAGACGTTTGGACCTTCCTAGTAACTTGCCAGGACTTATCCTCACATCTGAACATTGTAATGAAGGTGTACAGGTAGGGTGCCAACTTTTATACTTACATTACATTAGTATTGGGTAGATGAGACTTAACTTCAAGCTCCTGAAAGTATACAACAACAGTAGCTTAATAAGACAAGTTTATTTCTCTCTCACTTAAAAGTTTGGTTAAGCAGTCCTGGAATTGTAAAGTGTTAGAAGCCTAAAATCTGTCTATATTTTTGCTTAGCTATGCATAACCCTCATTTCCAAGTTGTGCTTCTGGTCCAGGATGGCTGATTCCCTCCAAACTATCACATCCACTTTTTATCCAGCAGTTAGGAGAAAAATGGATGGAGGGGAGAGTATGTCTTCTTTCTTAAGGGACAGCTCCTGGAGTTGTAGATAATATTTCCACATATATTTTCTTGGCCTGAATTCAGTTATTAGGTCGTATCTATCTACAAGGGTAGCTAGAAAAGGTAGCTTTTATTCTTTTTTTTCTACTTCTTCTTTTTGCCCAGGCTGGAGTGCAATGGTACGATCTTGGCTCACTGCAACCTCCTTTTCCCGGGTTCAAGTGATTCTCCTGCCTCAGCCTCCTGAGTAGCTGGGATTATAGGCACCCACAACCACACCTGGCTAATTTTTGTATTTTTAGTAGAGACAGGGTTTCACTATGTTGGCCAGGCTGATCTCGAACTCCTGACCTCAGGTGGTCCACCCGCCTCAGCCTCCCAAATTGCTGGGATTATAGGTGTGAGCCACTGTGCTGGGCTGGTAGCTGTTATTCTTAACTGTTCTATTCCCAGCTGCAATTCTCAGAGCAATTTAAAAATTCAAATGAAATAATATGAGTACTTATTTGAAAGGACTCATATTATCCATATTTTTGAGATGTTATAATTAAAAGTTAGAGTAATTTAGTAATTTCTGTAAGGTGACATACCTAATAGGTGATGGAGCGGAGAGCCAAAGTCACAATCTGGCTGTTTGATTTATAAGCCCCTATTCTACTTATACTGGGATCCTGATTCCATTAGAGACAGTGAGCTCCTAGAATGCTTTATTTTATAGTTTTTTTGTTTATTTCTTTTTTGAGACGGATTCCCACTGTCACCCAGGCTGGCATACAGTGGTGTGATCTTAGCTCACTGCCATCTCCACTTCCCAGATTCAAGCAATTCTCCTGCTTCAGCCTCCTGAGTAGTTGGGATTACAGGCATCTACCACCACGCCTGGCTAATTTTTATATTTTTGGTAGATATGGAGTTTCACCATGTTGGCCAGGCTGGTCTCAAACTCTTGACCTCAGGTGATCCACCTGCCTCGGCCTCCCAAAGTGCTGGGATTACAGGTGTGAGCTACCGCGCCCGGCCTATTTTATAATGTTGAATATTGATGGACAGTCAGACCCCAAACATACACCTGGTATAAAATAAATTCTTTCCTTGAAGTACTATAAACTCTAGTTTGACTCATTTATTTTAAGTAATAGTAGACAAAACAAAATTATTTGGTAAGGTAGTAGAAACTCTTGCTCTTTGACCTTAAAATTTGCTGTAATCGTGATTAATCTTTCTGTAACTGTTGTCCGAGTTAGCAAATTGTCTCCCATTCTTTAAAAGTTACACCAAGAGGCCGGGCGCGGTGGCTCACACCTGTAATCCCAGCACTTTGGGAGGCCGAGGCACGTGGATCACGAGGTCAAGAGATCGAGACCATCCTGGTCAACATGGTGAAACCCCGTCTCTACTAAAAATACAAAAAATCAGCTGGGCCTGGTGGCACGTGCCTGTAATCCCAGCTACTCAGGAGGCTGAGGCAGGAGAATTGCCTGAACCCAGGAGGCGGAGGTTGCGGTGAGCTGAGATCGTGCCATTGCACTCCAGCCTGGGTAACAAGAGCGAAACTCCGTCTCAAAAAAAAAAGAAAGTTACACCAAGAAACCTTTACTTCAAAAAATAATAATAACATTTGTAATCAGACATTAATAAAAATTAAAATTTTGTCTCTGAATTTTAGGTCCAGAATTTTAAAAGGACTCAATCTGTGTATATAACCAAGCTTCACTAGATTCACTGGTAATTGTTATTCTTGGGATACTAATATTTTCTTTTGATCTCTTTTAGCTTCCTCTGTCATCTCTGTCCCAGGATAGCAAACTTGTATATATTCAGCTGTTATGGGATAATATCAACCTTCACCAGGAACCAAGAGAACCTCTGTATGTCTCATGGAGGAATTTTAGTAAGTAAAATAGAATTAAAGACATAACAGCCGGGAGTGGTGGCTCACACCTGTAATGCCATCACTTTTGGAGGCCCAGGTGGGTGGGTCACTTGAGGCCAGGAGTTGGAGACCAGCCTGGCCAACATGGGGAAACTCTGTCTCTACTAAAAATACAAAACTTAGCTAGGTGTGGTGGCGGGCACCTGTAGTACCAGCTACTCTGGAGGCTGAGGCACGAGAATTGCTTGAACCCGGGCAGCGGAGGTTGTAGTGAGCCGAGGTCACTACAGGCTGCACTCCAGCCTGGGTGTCAGAGGAAGACTGTGTCTCAAACAAAACAAAACAAAGAATTAAAGACATAAAATACTCAAAACGGAAAAAAGAAAAATACTCAAAACGGAAACAACTGAAGCATGCATCCATAGATGACTGGATAAGCAAATTGTGGCACAGTCCGTTCATGTTGTAGGATATTGTTCCATGATAAATAATGGGCTGCTGGGGGGAAAAAAGGAACAGAATTAAGCTAAATTTCCCTAGAGTTAAATAGAGAAAAGCAAATTATTTTACTTTTATTTTAAAATTTTTAATTAATTCAAAATAATTTGAAATTATAAAAAAAGTACACACGAAAATGAATAAGTGATTTGCTATTGTACTGACCCGTTTTTAACTGTGACTGGTCTCAACTGAGTTGAGTAATTTTTTTTGGTGATTTTTTTTTATCAAGTAAGAGTTTGGTTGGGTATTTTGAGATTAAATTCTATGTAGCAGAAGAGTAATTTAGATTTATTGGTATAAGATCCTAAGTTCAGGCCGGGCGCGGTGGCTCACGCCTGTAATCCTAGCACTTTGGGAGGCCGAGGCGGGTGGATCACGAGGTCAAGAGATCGAGACCATCCTGGTCAACAAGGTGAAACCTCGTCTCTACTAAAAAAATACAAAAAATTAGCTGGGCATGATGGTGCGTGCCTGTAGTCCCAGCGACTCGGGAGGCTGAGGCAGGAGAATTGCCTAAACCCAGGAGGCGGAGGTTGCGGTGAGCC